CTTCAGCATTGCAAATGTTGCAAGCCAACACTCAAATTTAAACATTTCTGAATCAAAGATTATGTACCTTAAATCACTCACATATACACGAATACATCACACATCACAAATATACATGATGTATTCAATGTCAAATTGTGAGAAATATTCATATATTACTATTCATGTAACGCCCACCTCAAGTCAATCCTCGGCTACTCCTGCAATCTTTTTTCATTTGCTCAGCGTGGGAGCACATCCCAAAGCAGGGCAAAGCTCTTCGGTGATGCCAACACACTGTCTTCATTGACAGCATGCTGGTGCCTGAGTATGTTGATGTCAGTCATTTCGTTCCTATACTCCCTGTCCAGCTTAAGCAGCATGGGCTAGGGAGTCTCATGTGCTGCGATTGCTATGCTTTGGAGAGCAGAAAGACAACCTGTTTGTGGACTTTCTACTCTCAATTGTCAATCAAAACATTGGCATCGAGTCTATACCGCATTTTTTTTAATTCTTTATTTTTCCGTGCAGATAGGGTTAACAACTTTGCTTATCAGTAGAAATTGTAACAGTGGGGTGGTTAAAGACATTTGCACGTTTTTATATTTAAATGAGGACAAGTAGTTGGAATACATGAGTGGTAATAAGGAAAATACCTATTTTTAAGTGGGTTTTTCTCCAAATCTATATATTTGTTAGCAAAACTGCTAGAACCATGTATAGAGGACATTCAATGGTATTTCCAAGGAGCATGAGTGGTTTGAGGATAACAGATTCCTTGCTGTTAAGAGTGCTGGCAGAGATCACTGTCTCCTGAAAACCACTGCAAATTCTAAAGTTCATCATAATCTAACAGATGTCCATTTAATAAAGTAACTGTTATGCAGAACTGGGATTTTAGGTACCACTATCTTTAGGTGCAAAACTACTGTAGCAGATTATAGCACTTTTTTAATACAAAAAACATGGATCCAGTAAGACTTTGTTCTGGGAAAAACATGTGGATCATGAAGTAATCCATTGTGCTTTTATGAAAATTGTAAAGATCAGAGTGATGTTCCAAATAAATGAATGGATCCTGCATGGGCCTGAATTTGTTCAGTGCAAAATGCACAAAATACAAAGATTCTTGTAAGACACATCCTACCTTCATACTGATCTTTTTTCCATCTTGTAGAGTTTCTTCTCTTCCACGTCTTTATGACAACACTGTTACATAGTTACATAGTTACATAGCTGAAAAGAGACTTGCGTCCATCAAGTTCAGCCTTCCTCAGAAATGTTGTTGCTGTTGATCCAAAAGAAGGCAAAAAACCTGGTCTGAGGCACTTCCAATTTTGCCACAAACTAGGAAAAAATTCCTTCTTGACCCCAAAATAGCAGTCAGATGTCTCCTTGGATCAATCAGCTATTACCCACTAATTAGAAATTATATCCCTGTATGTTATGTTTTTGTAAGTATTTATCCAATTTCAGTTTAAACATCTGTATGGACTCTGACAAAACCACCTCTTCAGGCAGAGAATTCCATATCCTTATTGTTCTTACTGTAAAAAAAAACTTTTATTTGCCTTAGATGAAATCTCCTTTCTTCCAGCCTAAATGTGTGACCTCGTGTCCTATGTATAACCCTGTTTATGAATAGATTTCCAGATAAAGGTTTGTACTGGCCCGAATATATTTGTATAAAGTTATCATATCCCCTCTCAGGCGCCGTTTTTCCAAACGAAACAGATTTAATTTTTGTAACCTTTCTTCATAACTAAAATGCTCCATTCCTTTTATCAATTTTGTAGCTCGTCTCTGGACCCTCTCCAGTGCCATGATATCCTTCTTTAGAACAGGCGCCCAAAATTGCACAGCATATTCAAGGTGTGGTCTTACCAGCGATTTATAAAGAGGCAAAATTATATTTTCATCCCGAGAATTTATGCCCCTATTTATACATGACAAAATCTTACTGGCCTTAGCAACTGCAGATTGACATTGCATATTGCTGCCTAATTTGTTGTCTATAACAATGCCCAAATCCTTCTCGTGTGTGGTTATCCCTAATTCACTACCATTTAGTGTGTAAGTTGCTTGTGCATTCTTAACCCCGAAGTGCATAACTTTGCATTTCTCTATGTTAAATTTCATCTGCCATTTTAGTGCCCAGTACCCCAATCTATCCAAATCTCTCTGCAACAAAGCAATATCCTGCTCACATTTTATTACTTTACAAAGTTTTGTGTCATCTGCAAACACTGATACATGGCTTTCAATGCCTATTTCAAGATCATTTATAAATATGTTAAATAGAAGTGGTCCCAAAACAGAACCCTGAGGGACACCACTTACCACTTTTGTCCAGCCTGAAAATTTACCATTAATTACAACTCGTTGTACTCTGTCCTTAAGCCAATGTTCTACCCAAGAACAGGAATATTCATCTAGACCAATTTCTTTTAGTTTGAAGACTAACCTATTGTGAGGAACCTTATCAAATGCCTTGGCAAAGTCCAAGTAGATCACATCCACTGCAACACCCTGATCTATACTTCTACTTACTTCTTCGTAGAATGCAATTAGGTTAGTTTGACATGACCTATGTTTCATAAAACCATGCTGATTATTGCTAATAACATAGTTCTTCCCAATGAATTCCTGAATGTTATCCCTTAATAGCCCTTCAAATATTTTCCCAGTTACTGAAGTTAAGCTCACAGGTCTATAATTTCCAGGCAAGGATTTTGAACCCTTTTTAAATATAGGAATAACATCTGCCTTCCTCCAATCCTCCGGTACAACACCTGAAACAAAAGAATCTTGAAAAATTAAATACAGAGGTTCACTTATTTCCCCACTTAGCTCCTTAAGTACTCGTGGGTGAATACAGTCAGGCCCCGGAACTTTATTTACATTAATTTTCTTTAATAGCTGTAGCACCTTGTCTCGAGTTATCCAGTCACAAGTTATTTGCAAGTTTTTTGCAGCAAACATTTGCATATCTTTTGCCATAGGATCCTCATTAATATATACTGAAGAAAAATAGTTATTTAAAATTTCTGCTTTTTCCTGGTCTTCATTAGCTAATAAACCCAACTCTGTTTCAAGTGTACCTACACTTTCATTTTTTGTTTTTTTAGAATTGATGTACTTGGAAAAAATTTTGTCCATCCTCTCTCTTCAGTTGTGAAGGAAAAACAATTTTATTTGACCAGACAACCAAGAAATGTTAATAATCAGCTATTAATCTGTGGATATATCATGTCGGGGGAGTCCCAGTCTCTTGGCACAATAATGTGCATAATCTTCACTTAGTATACCATACCAAGGTTTGCCAATAATGTGACACCCTGATTAAATATATCATGCTGAAGGATGCACATTCCCCTAATATACCAACGTGCCAACTCTCCATCTTCTATAGCGAGGAGGCCCAAGCTATATGAATGTCGGTATCTCTCGATGTGACTTTTAGTACTGTGAATTTTTGACTGGCCTTTGTTAATATAGGTTTTTTCAGTTTAAGGAACCAGGTGAGAAACTAGTAAGATACTCGTATTTTGGCTGCCCATAGTATATTTTTCTGCAAGTGCCTGAAATTTTTATTTAGACGTTAATTGTAAATCTTGCCATACAGTGTTGTATATTACAGTTATCATACTTAGATGGCGGCCTATTTAGCTTATTCACCAATGAATTTTTTCGTATAATTTACCAGGTGCCCTTGATCTGTTGGCTTTTCCTCTGCCACAAATTTCAGTGATGTCTGGCATGACTGTCCTGGATTGTCTCCCATTTATTTAACTTGATGGGAAAACCAGGAACATAGCAAGTATCTCTTGCTCACAGGGTTTTCATTATTTATTTTATTTTGCTTGCCCCATGCAGTTTCTTCAAGCTTTATCAATCACCTCTTCTGAGTCTCATCCTCTGGCAGTATTCCTTCTTCACAGTGTTGTGGTCTTAAAGGACCACTATAGTGCCAGGAAAACAAACTCGTTTTCCTGGCACTATAGTGCCCTGAGGGTGCCCCACCCTCAGGGTCCCACTCCCACTGGGCTGAAGTTGGGGGAAGGGGGTTAAGCACTTACCTTTCTCCAGTGGCCGGCTCCCATGGTGCTGGGGACTCTCCTCCTCCTTTGGCCGCCATCGGCTGAATGCGCATGCACGTCAAGAGCCGCGCGCATTCAGCCAGCCCATAGGAAAGCATTCTCAATGCTTTCCTATGGACGCTGGCATCTTCTTACTGTGAAAATCACAGTGAGAAGTGTGGAAGCGCCTCTAGCTGCTGTCAATGAGACAGCCACTAGAGGCTGGATTAACCCTAATGTAAACATAGCAGTTTCTGTGAAACTGCTATGTTTACAACAGGCAGGGTTAATCCTAGATGGACCTGGCACCCATACCACTTCATTAAGCTGAAGTGGTCTGGGTGCCTATAGTGGTCCTTTAACTTCAAAAGTTAAGCTCAGTTCAAAAGAGCAAGTTTTCATTAGCCAGTACATTTCTGATCAAAGCCATATTCTCAGCATTATTAAAAAAACAACCCTCATTAGTTTGTTCTTGTGAATAAACTGGAATTGCTCCCTATAGAACCTCCTTGAATACTACGTTATTCTGTCTGTGCTACTCCATTTCACTTTTGTGTCCCATTAGCACCTCTATTGCAAGCTGCAGTGCACCTGGATCAGTATAAGCAGGCAAGAGTTGTCTCTGTCAACCTACACTTGTTCTCTGTTTAGGAAACACTGGGTTAGAGAGCACAGCTTACAAATGTCACTAGTAATCTGTTGTGCATTGCATTTTCAAAAAAAATCTGTAGTGTATTGATTTACAAAATTGTGCATATTTAGCAAAAATAGATGCTCCCGGTGAGTTGAGGAATTTTGTATTTCTTTTGCAATAGTTTTGGCCTAATTTTGCTTTACTGAAACAAATTTTGCATTGGAAAATAATCCAAGTCCATACAATCCAATTTTATTAATACAGATAAAGAACTGATCTAGTCAAACGGTGAATTGATCATAATAAGATTTTTTCTTAAATACCAGATTTACATCCAGAAGACTTTAGTCTAATTTTTATTTCGCCCAAGAAACAATCAGGATAATAAACACAATGACTACAAAAAGTAGATAAATGATAAAGATCAGGCGATCTATCACTACTGCCGCTGTATACCACTCTGACTCTATATCCTCCTTGTTAATGGACTTCTTCCACTCTTCATGAAACTTAACAATCTCTGCTAGAATCTTCTTTAGAAGCTTCTCCTGCAGGTTCACTTTTTTTTTCCAATGAGAGTTCTTATTGACATGAGGCTGTAATTGGAGGTTGTTTTCACTGTAACAATCTGTGAACATGAAAAATATATGAAAGTGAGAAAAAAATTACTTTGTTTATGTAATTGCGTGTGACCTGTTCTTCCCATGCTCTATACTAGAATAAAATTAAATACTTCTATTTTTTGTGTGTATTAAAGGGATTACAGGCACTCAGACCACTTCAGCTCATTGAAGTGATTTGGGTGCAGTGTCCCTGTTCCTCTTAGTCCTGTAATGTAAATCATTGCGGTTTTTGAGAAACAGCAATGATTTACTTTGCATGACTAAGACTGCCTCTAGTGGCTGTCAATCAGACATCCACTAGAAGCACTTTCTGGTTGGTAAGCCATTTTTGATTGCCTAACTGACGCTGGACGTCCTCACTCTCTGCATCCCATTGTACAGCGCTACAGAATTTGCTGGCACTATATAAAAAATTAAATAATAATATAATAATCCTAATGAGTACATCCAGTGTCAGCTAAATTAAATCCCCATAGAAAAATATGGAGAGGGCCTAATCAGATGACATGAGATAAGGCAGAATGCCAAACCAGCGCCGAGGGAAATCAGTAAATGCACAGTAAATATTTCCTATGGGCTGATTTGTTTATTCATTACATTTTGTTTTGCATGTCAACTATACTAATCGTAAATTGCCAAAGGATGGTAGTATTAGTCACATTCCTACATTAATGGACCTATTATATATAGGCAATGAAATTGAAATGATACAGAAGAAAGACAGAACCATACTTAATATATGGATCATTCTCTACCAGCAGTCTCCAAACTAGTTATCTGTTAAACCGTGGCTTCGCAACAGAACAAATTAATTTATCCCTTGCAGAAGCATCTCATCTATTTGAGCCTACTATAGAGACACTCTAATTAAGGCTGTCTGAGTTTCTGCCAAGGCATTTTTTTGTACTGTGCTAGGTTTGTAAACCAGGCTGATGAGTGAATATCTCTGATTATTTTGAGTCGGCCTGAACCTCTTCCCTTTGCATAGCTAACAATTCTTGGCTAATTACAATCTCTGGACAAACAGTAGGCTGACATAAATCCATATGGAAAAAATCTTCTTGGCTCAAAAAAGCAGTCAGATTTCTCTTTGGATCAACAAGCTGTATCTCCACATGTTAACTATTGTATCCTTGAATATTCTGTTTTTCCAAAAGACATCCAGGCAGCTGGAACTTCCCAAACCAGAGTCTTTTCTTTCTGGCAGTAAGTAGATACTGTATGGGAGAGGGGGTGAAGGGAAGCAGCGCATTCAAAGTATTCTCAAATCTGAGAGGAGAAATATGAAAGCTAAGAGGACAAAGGAACAAAATAAAGTGTAGTATATCCAGTTACTGGTGAATTAGTTAAGAGAAATAACACTTCTACAGATATGTGCGCTTGGATGGGACAATCCCTGTCTATGGATATGCTGATGGCCTTGGCTCTATGTTAGAAGATGTATCAAAACCAGTAGGTAGTTTTTGATAGTAAGCTTTGGGAGTGTTCTTCTTCAGTGCTTAACGTTGTTGCAATAGAAATAAAATAAAATATAGTGCTCTTGGTACTGAAACAATAAAATAAATAATAAAAGGAGGTATACGCACAAAAGGAGAGCAAACAAAGTTTTGCTCAATCCAAAACAGAGTAGGCAGTATATTCCCCACCAAGGAAATAAAATGTAAATCCTCCAGATAAAATCTTCTGGGATAAAATCAGGAAGGTGCAGGTAGAATAAAAACTAGTTTTATTAAAAATAATAATAAAACCAAAATATAGCATAAAATAATGGTAAAATACTGACGCATTTCATGTTACAGTATAATACAGCCATCTTGTTTAAATAGCTACACAAAATAAAAAAAATAAAAAATGGTGAGATGATGTCACAGATCATGTGACCAACAATCAACTTGAAATGTTATTAAAATGGAGGACTAGAAAGGGATATAATACTTTCAAAAGATATTTAAATAGATTTAAAAAATTTAAATATGTGATTAAAATAAAGAAAATCCTGAGAAGGAGCATCAAAATGGCTGCCACCGTATAAGGAAGGAGTGTTAATATAAAACCAACAGTGTGTCAGCGCTATAGGATATAACAAATATAGTAAGGCAGCACTCGATCCCAGTGATACAGAAGTATACACAAATACAAAAATAAAATTACCACAAAAGCGCGCTAGACTGATCTAAAAATATAGAAAAACAGAGAATAGTGCAGACCATCTGAACTAAACAAAGTATATATAGGGGGGTATGAGGTGAAAAAAACTCACATTGACCAGAGCCCTATCACCCCTGGCTCAGGGTTTGTAATGCTCCACTTGAGAGGGAAAATTCCCACACTGGTAGGCTTCCAAATGGTGTGTTCACTTGAAAACTGGTTAAGCTGTGCAATATAGGACAGAGAGAGGCAGGACCTCCAATTGAATAGTATCAAATACACTTTATTAAAAGACAACAGTTAAAAACTCTTACTTTGCGAGTGGTGGGTTATGCTGACATAGCTACCCACATAAAAGCATATAAACGACTGATAGAAAGTCACTTCCTGGTTTCGTCTGTCCCGATCACTTCTGGGTCCACCTCTCTCGTGACGTGTACGTGACGCGTTTCGCCCGCCTCCACAGGCTTCCTCTGACAACGTCATGGGTATCCAGCCCTTCCTTTTAAATGTCATACTCCTCACCCTCTATTATTCCATTGGTCCGGGGGCGTGGTTTCCTTATAAAGGGCTGGTTTCATCTTTCCCTTATGAGAATCTGAATCCTATTCCCCTCCTACTTTTACATATGTATGTTTAATCAGGAAACCATTATTTAATTCAGAGCTAGTATCCAACCTACTATTGCACATAATTACTAAATTAAACACATGTTATACATCAATTTAACCTTATATTGATTTATACATAAATGTTAAAACAGAATAAATATAATGTATAGCTTATGTAAGCCAGAGCTCCACCTAGAGATCCAAATGTGACTAATTAACAATAATCATAGATATCTCTGTTATAATTAAGAATTAAGTGTTACTCAATCCAAATATATAATTTAAAGGGATATTCACCTTCATAATTATCACATATGGTATAACAGCCCAATAGGGAATACAAATCTATAATCATCCTAAAAGGTAGTGGATCTAAAACTTGGATCAATAAGGGAGATCCTGCTAACACAGAGATATTGTAGAAGATAATGAATTAGGTTACTTTCCATACTCCGTCTTGTCTAAAGAAGTGTTCTCATTAGAACCAAGATATAAAGAGACAGTAATGGATACATTTTAAATAAAAAATATATTCAAATAAAATACATCATATAAAAAAGCCTGATTTCTGAATAACAGAAAGCTGCCTATATACATAACTAGACTGTAGAGAAGAGATCATATGTACATAGATATTCTTCTAAAAGGAAGAAAGAGAAAATGTTAAACATCATAATATGTTTCTAGAGAAAGAATGTTAAACATCATAATGAGGAAACATACCGAACTTAACATCAATCATAGAAAGTGACAAATCTCAAAGTCCCCATTTAAACCTTTAGGGAATAACGACTTCAATTTAAACACCCATCTCATCTCTTGTTTTGCCAGTTTATTATCCAAATCCTCCCCCTCCAATTCCTATTAACTCTCTCAATCCCAATGAATTGGAGCTTTGCAATGTCTCCTTGATGCTTGTGTATAAAATGCGAAGATAAAGGGTGCTCCTTAAAGTCCCTTTTAATATTATGTAAATGCTCCTCAATGTGGATATGAATTTGTCTAGTAGTTTTCCCCACATAATGCATATTGCATGGACAGGTAAGGACATAAATACAATTGGTGGTGTGACAAGTTAATAACAGTTTAACTTGATATACTTGTTTCGTGTTCCCCCCTATTAATTCACTTTTAACACATTTAGGGGCTCCTATAGTCCTACACGCTAGACAGTATCCGCTTTGGAAAAAAACCTTTTCTTGATTTAAAAAAGTTTTAATATGATTCTCTTGTTTAAAGCTGCTTCTAACAAGCTGGTTTTTCATACTAGGTGTCCCTCTATATATGATCCTCGGCTTTTTAGAAACTATCTGATTTAGAAGGGGATCCTCCTGTAAAATAAACCAATATTTATTCACAATATTCTTCAATTCTTTACTTTTCCCTGAATAATTAAAAATAAGTGGGACCTCATTAGTCCTATTCTCTCTTCCTTTATTACACTTATTTCTTAGAAGCTCTTTCCTATTTATGTTTTTTGGTTTTTTTATACGTTTTGTCCAGTATTGCTTTAGGATAATTTTTACCTGTGAAATCATTAATTAATTTATGTACCTGAGACTCATAAGAATCCATATTGGTATAATTTCTCTTGATCCTCATCATTTGTCCCTTGGGGATGTTATCCAACCAGGGACCATAGTGACAGCTGTCATAAAAAATAAAACTATTAACGTCTACCTTCTTAAAAAGGTTTCTGCACAGATCTTACTATTAGAAATAATAATTCGTAGGTCCAAATAATTGACCTGGCTGTCACTATGGTCCATGGTGAGTCTAACATCCCAAGAGTTAGAATTCAAATATGCCAAGAATAAAACAAGATCTTCCCTAGATCCTCTCCAAATCCAAAACAAATCATCAATGTAACGGCGATAGGTGACCAGATTCTGCACACAGCTATGTTCACAATATATAAAATACTCTTCCCTATGGGACATGAATAAATTCGCATAGCTGGGTGCGAATCTAGTCCCCATCGCCGTTTCAAGGGTCTGCAAATAAAAGGAATCTTTATAGTGAAAATAATTATTGGTAAGTATAAGTTGAATGCCCTCTAAAATGAAGGCTTGGTGATTGAGGGATAAATTGGAGGTGGACAGGAAGTATTGAACAGCCTCAATACCCCTTTGGTGTGGAATGATCGAGTAGAGGGATGAGACATCCGCAGTGACAAGGACATCCCCATCCCTCCACTCTACCTCCTCCAACAAGCAGAGGATTTGACTAGTGTCTCTTAGATATGCTTTAGTCTTTTTGACTATGGGCTGTAAAAATTGATCGATGTATTCCGACAAGGGGGCTGACACTGAACCTATCCCCGAAATGATGGGTCTACCCGGTGGATTAGTTTCATGTTTATGGATCTTGGGTAGGAAGTAATACATAGGTATCCTTGGGTATAAGACCGCTAAATATTCATACTCTGTTCTAGATATAACTTGCAGCATTAGGCCCCTACCCAAAAATTCCAGAAAAATATTTTTCTTATCCTTAGTTGGATCACCTTTTAGTTTGGTGTACATACTCTCATCATTCAGTTGCCTAAGAGATTCTTCTATATAGTACTCCTTGACCATAATTACAATGCCACCCCCCTTGTCGGCTGGTTTTATAACTATTTGTGTGTTATCGCGTAGTTCCAATAACGCTTTTTGTTCCTCCTTATTTAGATTTGTTTTATTCTTATTAATTCTCTTTATTCTTTCCACCTCCTTCATAACCAATTCCTCAAATGCATTCATTGAGTTGGTTTTACAGTTTTTTGGAAAGAAGGTAGATCTCTTTTTCAATGTGGTAAAATTCCCTCCCTCTATAGGTTGTGTGTCACCTTGAGACTCCTTTGTTACATCGATCTTATCCATAAAGAATCGTTTTAAACATAGTTTTCTCACAAATTTTTTAAGGTCTATATATACTGAAAATTGATCCAAATTGGCTGTGGGGCAAAACTTAATCCCTCTGGCTAGTACTCTATTCTGCATTGCAGTGAGGGGAATCTTCGAAAGGTTATATATTCCCTTAATATCTATAACCTTCCTCTTTTTCCTTCTCTGTATCTGACTCCCCTCTCTTGTTCCTCTCTTTCCATTCTTCTTTTTAATGGGGAGCTTGGGATGTTTAATTTTATCCTTTCCTTCCTTTTTTGATCCCATTCTAAAAAATCTTTAGATTGTTCTCCTTGATTATGAGTTAAATACTTATTATCAGTGCGTACATCAAGTCTAGGGGAATCTTGTTCTTCTACTCTATATTGGGTCGTTTTCCAGACATTGGGGCCTGATTTATAGTTGGGATCTCTATTTTCTCTAAATTGTGTTCTCTCTACCTGAGTAGTACTCCTCATTCGTTGGTTGGAACTTTATTCCCCATTCTGTTTAGTTGAAGTCTCATTTACTTGGGTATTATTTCTCTGATGCTGATGGGGATTATAGTCCCTTTGGTACTTCCTACCATCATTTATTGACTCCCTCCTCTTAATATATTGATATGCACCCATGTTACGTTGGGTGTATTGTTGTTTAAATTGATGTCCAGGCTCATGATACTCTCTCTTAAAGTTCTCTGATCTAGCTAGATTATTCCGAGATTCTACCCATCTTCTCCTATTATCAAATTTACCTCTATGGAAAGTATGTACCTTATTCTCCATATAGTCCTGTTTATCCCTGAAATATTTCTTTTTCTTAATAGTAATCACCTCCTTTTCTACTCTATTCATTTCATTCAAAATTTCTTCAAAATGTTTCTCCATTTCTTTAGACTCTAAAAACGGCTGTAAAAGTTCTTTAATAGATTTAATCTTACTATCTAGATCTCTTAAATTAAGTTGTCTCGTTTTAATGATAATGTGTAGGAGACCTAAAGATATTTGATTCAGATATTGATCCCATTCCCCCATAAATTCTTCACTTTCTCTATCAAAGGTGCTTATCATATGGAGAATAAGGTACATACTTTCCATAGAGGTAAATACTTATTATCATTGCGTATATCAAGTCTAGGGGAATCTTCTTCTATTATCAAATTTACCTCTATGGAAAGTATGTACCTTATTCTCCATATGATAAGCACCTTTGATAGAGAAAGTGAAGAATTTATGGGGGAATGGGATCAATATCTGAATCAAATATCTTTAGGTCTCCTAAGACCATAGTGACAGCCAGGTCAATTATTTGGACCTATGAATTTTTATTTCTAATAGTAAGATCTGTACGGAAACCTTTTTTAAGAAGGTAGACGTTAATAGTTTTATTTTTTATGACAGCTGTCACTATGGTCCCTGGTTGGATAACATCCCCAAGGGACAAATGATGAGGATCAAGAGAAATTATACCAATATGGATTCTTATGAGTCTCAGGTACATAAATTAATTAATGATTTCACAGCTAAAAATTATCCTAAAGCAATACTGGACAAAGCGTATAAAAAAAAAAAAAAAACATAAATAGGAAAGAGCTTCTAAGAAATGATAATAAGTGTAATAAAGGAAGGGAGAATAGGACTAATGAGGTCCCACTTATTTTTAATTATTCAGGGAGAAGTAAAGAATTGAAGAATATTGTGAATAAATATTGGTTTATTTTACAGGAGGATCCCCTTCTAAATCAGATAGTTTCTAAAAAGCCGAGGATCATATATAGAGGGACACCTAGTATGAAAAACCAGCTTGTTAGAAGCAGCTTTAAACAAGAGAATCATATTAAAACTTTTTTAAATCAAGAAAATTGGTTTTTCCAATGCAGATACTGTCTAGCGTGTAGGACTATAGGAGCCCCTAAATGTGTTAAAAGTGAATTAATAGGGGGGAACACGAAACAAGTATATCAAGTTAAACTGTTAATAACTTGTCACACCACCAATTGTATTTATATCCTTACCTGTCCATGCAATATGCATTATGTGGGGAAAACTACTAGACAAATTCATATCCACATTGAGGAGCATTTACATAATATTAAAAGGGGCTTTAAGGAGCACCCTTTAACTTCGCATTTTATACACAAGCATCAAGGAGACGTAACAAAGCTCCAATTCATTGGGATTGAGAGAGATAATAGGAATTGGAGGGGGAGGATTTAGATAATAAACTGGCAAAACAAGAGATGAGATGGGTGTTTAAATTGAAGTCGTTATTCCCTAAAGGTTTAAATGGAGACTTTGAGATTTGTCACTTTCTATGATTGATGTTAAGTTCGGTATGTTTCCTCATTATGATGTTTAACATTCTTTCTCTAGAAACATATTATGATGTTTAACATTTTTTCTTTCTTCCTTTTAGAAGAATATCTATGTACATATGATCTCTTCTCTACAGTCTAGTTATGTATATAGGCAGCTTTCTGTTATTCAGAAACCAGGCTTTTTTATATGATATATTTTATTTGAATGTATTTTTTATTTAAAATGTATCCATTACTGTCTCTTTATATCTTGGTTCTAATGAGAACACTTCTTTAGACAAGACGGAGTATGGAAAGTAACCTCATTCATTATCTTCTACAATATCTCTGTGTTAGCAGGATCTCCCTTATTGATCCAAGTTTTAGATCCACTACCTTTTAGGATAAATATAGATTTGTATTCCCTATTGGGCTGTTATACCATATGTGATAAGTATGAAGGTGAATATCCCTTTAAATTATATATTTGGATTGAGTAACACTTAATTCTTAATTATAACAGAGATATCTATGATTATTGTTAATTAGTCACATTTGGATCTCTAGGTGGAGCTCTGGCTTACATAAGCTATACATCATATTTATTCTGCTTTAACATTTATGTATAAATCATTAAAAGGTTAAATTGATGTATAACATTTTGTGTGTTTAATTTAGTAATTATGTGCAATAGTAGTTTGGATACTAGCTCTGAATTAAATAATGGTTTCCTGATTAAACATACATATGTAAAAGTAGGAGGGGAATAGGATTCAGATTCTCATAAGGGAAAGATGAAACCAGCCCTTTATAAGGAAGCCACGCCCCCAGACCAATGGAATAATAGAGGGTGAGGAGTATGACATTTAAAAGGAAGGGCTGGATACCCATGACGTAGTCAGAGGAAGCCTGTGGAGGCGGGCGAAACGCGTCACGTACACGTCACGAGAGAGGCGGACCCGGAAGTGATCACGTGATCAGGACAGACGAAACCAGGAAGTGACTTTCTTTCAGCCGTTTATATGCTTTTATGTGGGTAGCTATGTCAGCATAACCCACCACTCGCAAAGTAAGAGTTTTTAACTGTTGTCTTTTAATAAAGTGTATTTGATACTATTCAATTGGAGGTCCTGCCTCTCTCTCTGTCCTATATTGCACAGCTTAACCAGTTTTCAAGTGAACACACCATTTGGAAGCCTACCAGTGTGGGAATTTTCCCTCTCAAGTGGAGCATTACAAACCCAGAGCCAGGGGTGATAGGGCTATGGTCAATGTGATTTTTTTCCCTCATACCCCCCTATATATACTTTGTTTAGTTCAGATGGTCTGCACTATTCTCTGTTTTTCTTTATTTTCAGATCAGTTTAGTGCGCTTTTGTGGTAATTTTTTTTTAAGGAGTGTTAATATGACCGCCGCCAGCCAAAAGGCATGGTCGGCGCAGCATGAAATATCAAACTATACTTTAATAGCTATAAAAGAGGCAAAAGAGTGGGGAAGTGGAAGGAGCAAAAGAGAGTGGGGAAGTGAAAGGAACCTCTTCCCCACTGAAACAAGCGTAGCAGGGCAAAATGGGATACACCAAACTAGGTGCACCAATAAGGCGTCACGGCCTGCACCAAATGATTAATACAGACTGCAGCATCATAGCATACAAATATGTCCGGCACAGCTTGAAATATAAAACCAAATTGCATTAGCTCTAAAAAGTGCACAGGAGAATGGGAAAATGGAGGGAACCGCTTCCCCACCTCATTCAAGTAAGTGCAATAGGGAAAAATATGATACACCAGACTAGGTGAAAATGGCAATATGGCACTGCGTCCTGCACCTCGTAACTGGCGCAGACCATCACATCATAATTTAGAGCAAAGCAAAAACATAGAAGGGAGGGAGACCAACGGGTGGGAATGGGGATGGAACTAAAAAAAAGTAAAAATTGCCTATTAGAACATGAGTGGGAGAGAAAAGTACATCTTGTATTAAAAAAGGAAATGGTAAAAAAAAGGTCTAAAAGAAATAAACAAATACCAATAATCAAATATGTTTATAAATAGGATATTATTAAAAACAGAATTTATATTTAAGAAAAAAAAAAACATAATATAAATAACACACTTAGGAGTATATTAGATAAGAGAAAATAAAAATAAGATAAAAAATAGAAGAAAATCTCAATGAAAACATAAGAAACGGAGGGAACATCATGAGAAAAACTTCAATAAAAAGTGTATAAACATGGCTGTACATACAGGGTGATAGCTAAAAACACATATATATCATAGAAATTAAATAAATCAAAATCAACATTTAACCCATGTAATGCCAGGATGTTTAGTTTAACCCCTTCCCGACCGAGGACGGTTCAGGACCGTCATCGGCATTTTTGTCATGTCATCGGTCTGAGCTACTTACCTGATCGCCGTCGTTCCCCCGGCGGCGATCAGCGTGGCTCCGGTTGTGGGGAGAATGCCTGCAGCCCAGACAGTCTCCCCACACTGAATTAGGACCCCTGTGGCCATGTGATCGCTTAACACAGCGATCACATGGTCACAATAGGTGTCCACGTGTCTGCCTGCAGGGGGACTGCCTGTGCTGACAGGCAGTCTCCCCGCTAGTGTAAAATCAAAAAAAAAAATAAAGTTAGTGTTAAGAAAAAAAAAAGAATTATTATATATGTGTATATATGATATATAGACATATATTATATCTATATAATATATGTCTATATATCATATATATAATGCCATACTAAGTGTATTTTTATATTAATATGTACTTATATTAATATAAAAATACACTTATAATTAAATTACACACGTATATATATATATAATATATAATAACTATATATATTGTGTATATATATATATATTATTATAAAATATAAATAATAAGTAGTTTAAATGAAATCATTTTTTTTTAAATAATAATAAAATTTTAAAAAAAATTATATATCTATATGAAATTTTATTCTAACTGTATTTTAAAATTAATATATATATATTTATATCAAAATACACTTAGAATGAATTTGTATATATATCTATGTATATATAAATAAATAAAAATAATGAAATATACATATGTCCATATACAAAATTACATAAATAATTATATAAATATACACGTAGACTTAAACTATATAAATATGCATATATATTTAAATTCTACGTGCGTATTTATGTAATATTTTTACATAATTCAGTAATTTTATTGATTGCAATTTGAGGGACCTGCCTGCCAACCCAGGCCGAAATTCCAGAGAATTTAATTTGCTAGCACTGTATTTTACCCTGTAACGTTCTACGACACCCTAAAACCTGTACATGGGGGGTACTGTTTTACTCAGGAGACTTCGCTGAACACAAATATTAGTGATTCAAAACAGTAAAACATATCACAGCGATGATATTGTCAGTGAAAGTTACTTTTTTTGCACTTTTACTGATGATATAATTGTTGTGATACGTTTTCCAGTTTTTAAACTAATATTTGTGTTCAGCGATGTCTCCCGAGTAAAACAGTACCCCCCATGTACAGGTTTTATAGCATTTTTGAAAGTTACAAGGTCAAATATATGGGTCAAATATTTTTACATTGAAAATGGCCAGGTTGGTTACGTTGCCTTTGAGAGCGTATGGTAGCCCAGGAATGAGAATTACCCCCATGATGGCATACCATTTGCAAAAGAAGACAACCCAAGGTATTGCAAATGGGGTATGTCCAGTCTTTTTTAGTAACCACTTGGTCACAAACACTGGCCAAAATTAGCGTTCAATTTAGTTTTTTTACTTTTTTCACACACAAACAAATATGAATGCTTACTTTGGCCAGTGTTTTCGACTAAGTGGCTACTAAAAAAGACTGGACATACCCCATATTGAATACCCTGGGTTGTCTACTTTAAAAAAAATATGTACATGTGGGGTGTTATTCAGAGATTTATGACAGATAATAGTGTTACAATGTCACTATTGCTAAATTTTAAAAATGTATGTTTTGAAACCGCAATATCCTACTTGTACCTATAGCCCTATAACATGCAAAAAAAAGCAAAAAAGCACGTAAACACTAGGTATTTTTAAACTCAGGACAAAATTTTGAATCTATTTAGCAGTTTTTTTCATTCGCTTTTGTAGATGAGTAAAAGATTTTTCAAGTAAAAGTCAAAAAACATGTATTTTTTTCAATTTTTCATCATATTTTTGTATTTTTTTAAATTAAAATACATGAGATTATATAAATAATGGTATGTAAAGAAAGCCCCTTTTGTCCTGAAAAAAACAATATATAATTTGTATGGGAACAGTAAATGAGAAAGCGGAAAATTACAGCCAAACACAAACACCACAAAAGTGTAAAAATATGCCTGGTCGCAAATGTACAACATCGCAAAAACAGTCCAGTCCTTAAGGGGTTAAAAACCCAACTCAACTTTATTCTATCTAACATTTTAGAAAGGCTTTTGGATCTTTATTATGAATGAAAAAAATATTTAAAAACAGTCTGATCTAGAAAGCTTTTTGAATTATTTCTACAGTGTTCAGCAATGCAAGTTTTTAGGCTTCTAGTGGTCATGCCGATATATTGGAGTTAACAAGGGCATTCTAAAAATGAAGTGACATTTTTTGAGTAATGTGATAAAGCTATATATTATCTTTTTGAGACAAATATTTTGACTTCAAAGCAAAAATCTTAGTGATGTCCCTGTTTGTACCTCTACATGCTAGTCAGCATTTGCATCTCTAAAAACCTTTTTGTTGGTTAAAAGAGAACTCATTAGAGTTGATCTTTTTTGTATAGTTCTTAGTGAGGCATCTTTTTACATTAGGGGCCCCTCTAAAAACAATTTTGGGGTTTATCTGGTAAAATATATTTTAAAATACTGCAGTGTTTCTGATATTCTTCTAATATTTTTCATCTTAAAACTCGTATTGTTAAAATCTAAAATGATAGGCAAAACAATATCTTTATTTTGGTCTGAGTTGTGGTATTCCGGGAGTTGGTTTCTATGTAATTGTTTTGTTTTCTGTGATAAGAGTGTCAATATCCTTGTCATTATAGTTTTTTTCTTTCAGCTTGTCTTCGAGGCTAAGAGCTTGCTGTTGAAAGCTGTCATTATGATGGGAGTAGATCTCCCCCCAATTTTACATCTGGCTACCCAGAGAACAAAAAGCACTCTAACACACACAATGCCCATCGATCCTAAACTCCCTCCAAGCCTGGCACTAAAATAGCAGTTGATATCTTCACCCTCACCAATGATACTAATATTAAGAAACAGGACATTTTCCCCAGGAATGAGAGCACATTATTATAAAGGTATAGAATACACAGGATCATCAGAAATTTTGGGGCCCCTAACACAGCTCAAGGTTTGGGCCCCCCTTCAAGCCCACCCACAGGGCCCGCCTCCAAATCCCGCCCACAGGAATACACACACACTAACAGATACAAATACTGAAACAGACATACACACATGCATAGGGAGATACTGACACACACATGCAGACATACATACTGACAAACATACATATACATACACATACTGCATACTGATATATATATATATATATATATATATATATATACATACATACTGACAGGCATACATACATACATGCACACACACAAACACTGGCATGCATACATACATACATACATACAGACACACTGGCATACAGACACACACTGGCATACATACATACTCTGGCATTCATACACAGGCATACACACATACACTGGCATACACACATACACTGGCATACATTACAGTCTCCGAAATAACCTACCAGCCAATGCTTTCTCTGAGTGAGGAGCAGAAAGATACCTCCTAACTCCAGCAGTTAAACAATGGACATGGCATCTTGGTACTGTGGTATATCAGCTGCTGGGTCCAGGAATACAAATATAACATCATTTAAAAAAATAATGTCCATCAGTTGCAGTCAGATAAATAGCATTTTGGAAGATTTATAGCCAGCTTTGTTTTGTATCCATCTGTACAAATGGTAATACATTTCTATATATACACTGGCATACACACATACACTGGCATACACACACTGGGATATATACACACACACTGGCATACACGCACTGGCATACATACACACATACACTGGCATACACACACTGGCATACATACACACATACACTGGCATACACACACACACTGGCATACACACATACACTGGCATACATACAAACATACACTGGCATACACACACTGGCATACATACACACATACACACACAGATACACTGGCATACATACATAGATACACTGGCATACATGCACACATACACTGGCATACATACACTGGCATACATACACACATACACTGGCATACACACACTGGCATACATACACATACACTGGCATACATATACAGATACACTGGCATACATACATACACTGGCATATATACACACACTGGCATACACATACTGGCATACATACACACATACCTCATTTTCAGCCACCCTCCTCTCTTCCTTACCATTTCGTTGCAGGAGGGTGGCTGGGGATGATGTGAGTCGGCTGCCTCTCCTCACGGCCTTTCTCTCCTCCTTCCCGCGCGGAGTAAAGTGGGAGGAAGTGACGTCACTTCCTCCCAGCAGAACTTGCTTCCGGCTGCATTTTTTTTTTTTTTTAAAGGGGCCTGGTCACGCTATTAAAACCTGCTGATTTATTTAGATAACTTCAGATCATGGACTTCACCCAACTGCTCAAAGAAGCAGCCCCCCCAAAAAACTGAGAAAAAACCCCCAGAAAGATCTATTTACATCTATATGCCTCTATATACCCATGTAAGCTCAAATAGCACAGAGTGGGGAGAACATCACTACACAACCGAATGGGAATCTGTCAAATGTGAGGTGAACAAACCTCAACACAATGGCAATTACAAAGGTAATTAACATCTTCAATACTCACCCAATATGCTACTGTATTGCATGTTTCAGTTTATATATATCTGTCATATATATGATGTATACTCTTTGCATGTTTTTTTGCATGTTTGCACTTTAACTTTGATGTATTCTTTTTTTTTTTTTCATCATATAATAAAATATTTTTATGTGCAATACGTATTGGTGTGTTTTGGGTTTACTATTTCTGTAATTTATGGACATGAAGGGGTTACAAATATGTACTATTATTTTCTCATTAAGCACCTTTATAACTGCATGCCTCACCAAGAACTAACCCTCATCAGATGAACGCTTTTGCCATTGTTTGAAAGACATTCAGAAAGGCAATGGTATGGATACGAGGGTAGAACCATGCTACGCAAACAGATTTACGGACGACTAGGAAGAAACTTTTATTTGGTCTAATTTTAAATGGAAAACAAATCTCGTTTTATACTATAGGTACAGAGATGACCTGTTTTGTATTTGGCATGGTACAGAAAATGATCTTACAGATTTCCTATCCAACAAAGGCATAAAACTGTATCCAAAAGAAAAAAACTGTAATGAAAAGGAAATTGACATGTCTATCACATGAATAAAACCATTAGATAGAAGCCAACGCCTGCAATACCACAACTCAGATCAAAATAAAGATATTGTTTTGCCTATCATTTTAGTGTTTAGCAATATGAGTTTTAAATGAATTTTTTTTATTAAGGAACACTGGAGTATTTTAAAAGTAGACAAAATTTTAAAAGGCATTTTATCAGATAAATCCAAAATAGTTTTTATAAGGGCCCCTAACGTAGAACAATTCCTCACTAAGAACTATACAAAAAAAAGATCAACTCTAATAAATTCTCTTTTAATTAACAAAAAGGTATGCAAATGCTGCCTAGCATGTAGAAGTACTAACAGGGACGTCACAAGGATTCCTGCTTTCAAGTCAAAATATTTACCTCAAAAATACAATATGAATAGCTTTATGACTTCACTCAAAATACTTTACTTATTTATTAGAATGCCCTTGTAAATTCCAATATATCAACATGACCATTAGAAACCCAAAAACTCACATTGCTGAACAAAGTAGAAACACAACAAAAGGCTTTCTAAATCACTCTGTTTCTAAACTTTTTTTTAATTCATAATAAAGATCTGAAATGTTTAAAATATTGTGCAATAGAAAAAAATTGTGCGGTACAGGAGATTCAGTTTCCTGTACCCGGCCGGACTGAAAGGAAGTGAGCACTGACTGCTCACTTTCTTTCAGTCCAGCCGGGTTCCCTGTGCGCGCTGCTCTGCTCGGCCACGCTACATAAAGGTAGGAGACCTCCATAAGATGCACAGACATTTCCCTCACTTTTGAGGAGGAAAAAAGTGCATCTTATGGAGTGAAAAATACGGTATTTTAATATCTTTTGAAAGTATTCTGATATCCTTTTCTAATCCTCTATCAGATTTGCTCACATAGGTTCATTATGCTTTAACACTTTGAAAAAGGCAAAATTTTGTCAAAAACACGTCAGTGTTTTAGTTGTGTTTTATGCTATATATTAGTTTTATTATTTGTTTCAATAAAACTTTTTTTTTATTCTGGACCTTCCTGAATTTCTCCCTGAAGATTTTGTTCGGAGGATTCAGATTATAAATCCTTGGTGTGGAATGTACTACCTACTCTGTTTTGAATTGAGGAAAACCTTTTTTCTCATTTTGTGAGTATATCTCCTTTTATTATTTATTTTATTGTATCAATACAGAGAGCACTATTTTCTGTTTTATTTCTAATCCATACACCGGTGAATTTCCACTGCGAACTGAAAAAGAACACTTCAAATGCTTACTATTAACAGCTACCTACTGGTCTTAATACATCTTCTAACAAAGGGCCAAGGCCATCAGCATATCCATAGGCAGGGATTGTACCATCCAAGCACACTTATATACAAAATTGTAAGTGTTATTTATCTTATCTAATTCACCAGTAACTGGATATACCACTCCTACTCGGATTTGAGGATACTTTGAAGGCCCTCCTTTCCTGCACCCCCTTTCCAATATAAAATTTTCTACTGATTTAATTAATTTTGCAGCCCACCTCTATACTCCTAGTTACAAAACTGCACTACATATTCAAAGTGAACTGAAATTTGTTGTCTCTTCTACTCACCTTTGTCCTTTGAAATTACCATTTCCAAATCTTTAACATCCTTTACTTTGACACACAGCACATGTGCCAGATTATTTAGCAAGCAAGTCTTTACCCATCTTGGTATCCTGGATTGCTTAGAAGATAACTCCATCATGTACGAGGTCAACACACATCCAGCTATACTGAAAATCATCAGAGCCATACATGCACAGCAAAATATACCTGTGTAAAAAAAAAATTGGCAGGTTTATTGTCAGAACATACTGTATTTAACCTTGGTTTTTACTTTTGGCTTAAGAATTATGGGCTTTGTTTCAAATATGTGTATAATGTATATGTATATTTTAAAGGAAGGTACCCATGAAAAGTCCTGAGATAGAAAATAATTACAGGATCGGGGCCTGACTGCAGAGCTGAGCAGACGCATTTTGCTGCTGCTCCCGCACCTAACCTTACGTAGTGCAGATTCCTGCTGAGCAGAGGCTGTGACTCAACTTGTTGTGGCTACCAAGCGAGGGGGGACACCGAGACCTGCGAGAATGACACCACACAAGTGGATATGGTAGAGACGGACGCTCTCCCACAGCCCCAACACACTGCAAGGCACAGTTCGAGCCACCGTTCCCCCCCTCCATGGACCGTACGGACTGCAGCTGCCCACTCTAGCTTGGGCTCCAGATGCGCCGGGCCCAGCAACATGGCGGACGCAACGCACCTATTAAGGCCTGCACCCACACGACCCCAATCCACAAGCCTGGACCTGATATTCCAGCATTTCTGGGTCAAACTGGAACGACTCCTCGCAAGGTCCTCCTCAGCACATGGAGGTTCACCACGGGAGATGTGGAGGCAGAGACAGAGTAGGCCTGTCCCTGGTAATGCATACCCTCCACCCAGGCCGAAGGTCACAAGGAGGTTACCTCTGCAGCATCGGCCACATCACCAGAAGCCCGACCGCCGCTGGCAGCAACAGAACATCGGGGCTTTCCGTGACGCCCATGTAGGGAAAAGCTCGGCCTCCACAAGCACCCGAATTTCTGGTACACGAATGCAGACCCCACACAAGGCCTTGGGCTGGGGGGGAGGCCTCACCATTCTCGCAACTCACCTGCATCCTACAGACTCCCAAGCACCAGCCTCTACAATGGGACGCGAGGAAATTGGCTGACGAAGCGATCCGTGAATTGCGCCCAAGCTTGTGAGCGAGCATAACACCCGGACTGACACCCAGGGAGAATTGCACCACTACTGCTGAGCAACATCTAACCCACATAAGTGGACACTGACCTTTAGAGATCCCTTAATGCCGCACACGCTGTTGAGCAGCTGACGACATCTCTTAACACCTCAGCAACTACTTCTTGCTTTAAGATAGACGTATATAAGTTAGTTTGGCTCTCCTTGGGGGTCCCCATAACTGCAGATACCACAAATATAGTGAAGCATGTGTGTCTTAAGGTGGCACTTAGCCTGTCAATTTAAGCTAACATAGTTGAATTACGACTGTTCATTCTGGTTTCTAATAGTCTTGAAAGCCTACATTTACACACTTGAGAAGGCAGATATGTTTAATGTCGCAAGCTTGTTGACCCCAACGTGACCCATCACATTAGACATACTAATTCAGCTTGCACTCAGTCTACATCTTGCTTAGCATGTTTACTCTACTATATTTTTCACAAGAAAAGAAGAGTTTACGTAATCTTTAATTATTCTCACGTAATAGCTAAACCTAGCCTGTTTTAATCTGTTAACATATTATAAAAATGTGGCAGTCTTTCTTGGGAGTGTATTCCAAACAATGCTGATACCTTTATTTTGTTTTACCTTGTAATAACTCTCTTTATTCTTTACTTTGTGAAGCAAATGCCATAATAAAAGAAAGACTAACAAAAAAAAAAGAAAATAATTACATGTGTACCCCCTTAAATGAAGAGCATTCTCATTCATCAGATATGAAGAATACCAATTTTATTAAAGGATACGGAGGCTCATATTATGCTTTATTTCTTTCTTTAATCCTTAGCAGCAAAGAAAGGATACTGTAAATATTTAAAGAAAAAATACAACATGTACCCTAGAGGATTAACCATCATACAACATATTAACAAATAGGAACGCTCCTTGCTCCATAAAGTCCTGTGTGACCTTAAGCCACTCCTATTTCTTTGCTGCTGCCTCCTCAGCTAAGAATCACTCCAATTTACTCTGTATTGATTTTATCATTTCTATAATATATCACTGCACTGGTGTATATTTGGTCAGTGTATACATTGTGATAGAACCCGATGCAAGTACGCACAGCTGGGGCGTGCACTGTGGGCCTACCTCCAGTAGGTCCCTGGAAGAACAGGAAATGCATATTAACTGCTTAGAACTGTTGGCAGGCTATTTTTCCCTACAGAACCTCTTGGGTGTATCAACCAATTGTTTCATACTCTTACGGATGGACAACATATCAGCGGTTCGTTACATCAACCATCTTGGGGGCACAAAGATGACAATATTAGCAAACCTAGCTAAGGAATTCTGGCAATTCTGCCTGGATCGCAATATTTTGGTACAGGCAGAGTACATTCTGGGGATGTCCAACATAGTGGCGGATTGGAATTCCAGACACTTATGGGATACCAGAGATTGGAGGCTGAACCCTTCCATTTTTCTCCGCTTGAGTCTCTTTGGGGCCCTCTGGAGATCGTCCTATTCGCATCACGTTTGAACTCCCAACTACCAAAACATTTTCAGCTGGATACCAGATCCAGAGGCTCTGGCATCAGGTGCCTTCCTACAACCATGGCCAAACACTCGCCAGTTCACTTTTCCACCTTTCTCTCATTGCTCGGACACTATTACAACTCAGATGTCACCGGACCTCCTTGTTCCTCATAACCCCAATCTGGACAGCTCAGCCTTGGCTCCCTACACTCATGGAAATGTCCATAGACTACCCAAGATTACTCCCTATTGCTGGATCTCAAACGGAACCCACATCCCCTTCTCCTCCAGGGACGTCTCAGACTATTAGCATGGCTCCTCTCTAACGTTCCAAGAACAACTCTGGAACTCCTGGCGGGATCTTGGACACCAGGAACAAGAAAATCCTATCTCCATGCCTGGAACTCATGGAATGGTTGGTGCATGGAACAACACGTGGATCCCATATCTGCACCTGTGAGTCAGGTCCTGAGTTTCCTCGCTTCACTGTTTGACCACAGACTAGCATACCGTACAATAAATCTCTATAGGTCAGCCATATCAGCAGGCCACCAGGGTTGGAACGTATTTCCTGCAGGTGAACATCTCTTGGTATGTCGACTCCTTCGTGGCATCAGATTTCTACGTCCTCCATGTCCTAAATATTCCTCCTTATGGGATGTGAGCCTGGTCCTTCGACTCTTTGAGAATTGGCCTCAGAATGAAGACCTTTCGCTCAAGCAACTCACGGCAAAGTTAGTTATGTTGTTTTGTCTCATCTCCTGTAAACATGTCTCAGACGTTCATGCACTGGACATTACAGCACGTTCCTTTACTCCAGATGGCGTTTCCTTTGACATCTCAAGCGTACGAAGACATCCATTACCTCAGTCGTTTATCCAGCCTACAGGTAAACATCTCTTGGTATGTCGACTCCTTCGTGGCATCAGATTTCTACGTCCTCCATGTCCTAAATATTCCTCCTTATGGGATGTGAGCCTTGTCCTTTGACTCTTTGAGAATTGGCCTCAGAATGAAGATCTTTCGCTCAAGCAACTCACAGCAAAGTTAGTTATGTTGTTTTGTCTCATCTACTGTAAAAGTGTCTCAGACGTTCATGCACTGGACATTACGGCACATTCCTTTACTCCAGATGGCGTTTCCTTTGACATCTCAAGGCGTACGACGACATCCATTACCTCGGTCGTTTATCCAGCCTTTCCACATAATGTTAACCTATGTCCAGTGGCCTGTCTCAGGGAGAGGGAGAGGATCTCTTCAATCCGTGATCCTACATATGCTGATTTGTTTCTAGCCCTTTGACTCCCATAGCAACCTGTTTCTACAGTGACCTTATCTCGTTGGGTAAAGTGAATCATGAAGTCGGGTAACATCAACACCTTTGTGTAAAGTGGATCATGAAGTCGGGTAACATCGACACTCTGTTTCAGGCGCTATGGCATCAAAAGCTTTCTCCTTAGGGTATATGTATTTTTTTTTTTTTTTTTTTTAAAAGGAGCATCAGAAAAAAAAACATCAATTATGGTTGATTTTCAATGTATTATTTAATAGTGTATTTTCCAGAAACATGGCAGTTTTTCTTTAAATAAGGAAACATGTCCATCTGATTGGGACATACATAAATACACAGAACTAGAATTTTGCTATAGAAACATATGTGAGCATAGATACTTGGGCCATGTAGAAACATTTGTATATTAGTTTAAAGGAGTGTTTGAAGGAAGCTATAGATCCCCCAACTCTTTGCTTGTAAGAGATTGAAAGATAAGATCTATTTACCTTTCAGCCTTTGCCATGCCAGTCTCCGTCTTGCTTCTCCACATCCTTGGCTAAGATCATCGAGATCAATGTTTCGCTATGGAGAAACATTGGGAGGCTCGTGTGCATATGCAGCAAAAGGTGTGCGGCGCAAACCAACTGCTGCTCTATGAGTGGCAGTTAATTGAGAACTGAGTTAGACTTTGTTCTCAATGTGGAAGTGCCTCTAGTGGCTGCTAGCAGGACAGCCACTAGAGGTGTGTTAACACTGCTGTGGAAACATTGTTTTTACATTGGATTATTCAAATGAAAAGGTCACTGCACCAAGACCACTTTACTGAGATGACGTAGTCTGGTTGCCTTTAGTGGGTTTTTAAAATGCACTTTTTAGCTTCATAATTATCTGTCATGATCTTCAGCCCTGGATAGAGTATAGAAGGGACGAGAAGCAGTACATGGAAACATAGTAGACAGTGAAATTTTTGTTTCGTACAAATGAATTTGTACTAAATAAAAATTTAATTTGTCAGTTCCGAATTTCGTCCATAAAACATTCGTTTTTTTAAACGAAATTCAGTAAAAAATAATTTGTTTCCGTCCATTAGGACGAACATTAAACTGCGCATGTGCAATAAAAAAAAAAAGAAAAGCAAAGAGGGAGCCGGCACTGCTACCAGCTCTATCCTTGTAATAAATAATAACAATTCCTACCCCCCCCCGCATTAAAACATATATGACCCCCATATTAATAAAAGGGAGGTTAAATCCTCTCATATGCCCTCACTCGCAGCATGTGGCCTAAACAGCAAGCAAGCTAGTGGCTGCTCGCTGTCATTTAAAACTACTAGTGACTGCCCTGGCCGGTCTCCGTTTGTGAGGTTCCAATGCGAACACCATGCAAACATATGATTGCTCCCCCGATCGGTAGTTCATATCTCCCTAATGTCATCCATATAGGTGGTCGGGAAATAGAACGGGTGGCGGTCTAAGTTTTACCGGCGTTTGCGCAAGTGTCTAGCCGAAAAGAGTTCCAGGCACTCGACAACCAAGTACCGCTGCCCACGATCAGTAGACAAGATGGCCGCCATTCTTTTGTCTGCCACGTATTCGGTTATACAAAATGGCAGCCACCCATTAAATTGCTGGTGTTAACGTTCTAATGGGGTACAGGGGTGGTCCTCATTCAGGAGACGAAAAGATTCTGTTTGTATGAAGTACTTCCAAACTGAAAAAAGATAAAACATACAAAATAAAGGGGAAAACATATGAATAGGAGGTAAGTTCCGCCACAAGACTCTTATACGCACGGGTTAAGTCTCCTGCTGCAGGGAGATCCAGGTTTTTTTGTTTCTCTTCACTGCTGTGGGGGTTAATTCTCCTGCAGCACGGAGTCTATTAAACGAAAGAAATGAAACGTAATGCATTCGGAATTTGCCCTTTCGTTTCGTATATAATTCGTATGTAGGTCTTTCATTTATGTTATAGTAAACGAATATGAAAAAGTAAAAAAATTCTGATGAAATCATATTCGTCCGATAACGAATGCACATATCTAAAACATATAATCTATATCAAACATTTGTTAGGTATTGTGAAAAGAGGTCTTTTGCTGTAACCCGTACCTCCAAGTACTGCTAAATTTGGAGCTAACCACAAAAACAAACACACATAGCTGATATGGTGATAAGTGACATCCTGGTCAATACTGCCCACAAGAGTAGGAAAGGGAGGGACATGGACTGAAAGACACACTAGTTAAAAAGAAATAAAGAGATTACTTCTCAATTAAGGGTCTGAGTATCATGCCCCTGTAGTTTTGTCCCTGTGATGTAAAGCAATACTGTTCTGAAGAACAGCAATGTTTACACTGCAGTGTTTAAATAATGGTCCCAGACTGACAGAAGAGCTATAAGCAGTCAAAGTGAATACTGCTCATGATGTTATCTTCGCGCTGCCATGATAAATAAAAAAATGCTTTACCCCCAGCATGTCACTGGCCACCTGTGTAAGGAAGACCCCCATGCAGCAAGATCAATAATGGGCTTTTCCAGCTGCCAAGCACCATCTCTGTGTGAGGAACTGCAGCACAAAAGTGCGCTCTCATGCTGCAATCACACAGTATAGAGTGCTCAAAGAACCCTCAGTGAACTGAAAATCCCTCTGCTGATGTCACTACCAGCTTCTGTGCACACTTCATAAAAATATGCACAAAACCGACATTAGCCAAGAGTTCCGAACTAGCCTATTGACATCCCAATGACACTACCAGAGGTGGAGTTACAACTCTGGCAGCAGAGGAGTTGAACTCAGAATGTACACTATTTCATAACAAAACAATGCTTACACTGACTCCAAGTACTATTGTCACAATACCTAGTGACCCAAGACGCAGAGCGTATATGATAATAGAAATGACAACGTATACAGGTCACTAGAATGGCTGAGCTTAAATGGATATCGAATAGTCAGGGACAAGCCGAGTAAGGAAAACCAGAAATCAGGGAAGCGAAAACCAATAGCTGAGTGACAGGATTACAGAATGGAGAATAGTCAGAAAAGCCGAGATCAAAATACCAGAAATACACAGACAGTAAAGCACTCTTGGGAACCATAAACTTGAACCACAGTTTCATGCCCAAGGTGCCTTTTTATTGTTTGTAGCTTTTATTATATAGCCACACCCCCAAAATATTTGAATACGAACGTTTTCCCTGGGCGTGATGTCATTTGCGTCATGACGTCGGCACATACGTGCCGAGTCATAAAAGGTCAACGCAGTTGGCGTTGGGACTGCTCAGGAGAGGGGAGGGACTGTGGGAAGTGTCCCTTTCCACCATCTAGACGTCCCTAGACAGCCTGGGCAACAAAAGGTAGTAGTGTGACCACTATGTCAACTTCAAACCGCTGTCCTTGGAGTAAACCTTTCAAATGGTACTTTGAATAAACCTTTAATGGACTTTTCAATCCTTATCAGAAACTACTGGGAAGATCCCTGTAGTAATTTTGGGGGTCATAAAAATGTTCACCTTCACTTTAATTTTGTTTTATGAGCTAGCTTTTGGCAGTCTATAGCCCAAGCTATCAGCATTAGATATTTAATTTTGATAAGGTCTAGTTTGCAAGTGTTTTGTACACCCGTAGAGAAAATAATCATTATTAAATGCCATCTTCTACAGTGCATTTATGTACACAACGCTATGCTAAAACACCCATGTGTGGAGGGATAGGACCAAGTTATAAGAATCCCAATAATAATCTAACAGCCTACAGGTAAACATCTCTTGGTATGTCGACTCCTTCGTGGCATCATATTTGTACGTCCTCCAAGTCCTAAATATTCCTCCTTATGGGATGTGAGCCTTGTCCTTTGACTCTTTGAGAATTGGCCTCAGAATGAAGATCTTTCGCTCAAGCAACTCACAGCAAAGTTAGTTATGTTGTTTTGTCTCATCTACTGTAAAAGTGTCTCAGACGTTCATGCACTGGACATTACGGCACATTCCTTTACTCCAGATGGCGTTTCCTTTGACATCTCAAGGCGTACGACGACATCCATTACCTCGGTCGTTTATCCAGCCTTTCCACATAATGTTAACCTATGTCCAGTGGCCTGTCTCAGGGAGAGGGAGAGGATCTCTTCAATCCGTGATCCTACATATGCTGATTTGTTTCTAGCCCTTTGACTCCCATAGCAACCTGTTTCTACAGTGACCTTATCTCGTTGGGTAAAGTGAATCATGAATTCGGGTAACATCAACACCTTTGTGTAAAGTGGATCATGAAGTCGGGTAACATCGACACTCTGTTTCAGGCGCTATGGCATCAAAAGCTTTCTCCTTAGGGTATATGTATTTTTTTTTTTTTTTTTTTTAAAAGGAGCATCAGAAAAAAAAACATCAATTATGGTTGATTTTCAATGTATTATTTAATAGTGTATTTTCCAGAAACATGGCAGTTTTTCTTTAAATAAGGAAACATGTCCATCTGATTGGGACATACATAAATACACAGAACTAGAATTTTGCTATAGAAACATATGTGAGCATAGATACTTGGGCCATGTAGAAACATTTGTATATTAGTTTAAAGGAGTGTTTGAAGGAAGCTATAGATCCCCCAACTCTTTGCTTGTAAGAGATTGAAAGATAAGATCTATTTACCTTTCAGCCTTTGCCATGCCAGTCTCCGTCTTGCTTCTCCACATCCTTGGCTAAGATCATCGAGATCAATGTTTCGCTATGGAGAAACATTGGGAGGCTCGTGTGCATATGCAGCAAAAGGTGTGCGGCGCAAACCAACTGCTGCTCTATGAGTGGCAGTTAATTGAGAACTGAGTTAGACTTTGTTCTCAATGTGGAAGTGCCTCTAGTGGCTGCTAGCAGGACAGCCACTAGAGGTGTGTTAACACTGCTATGGAAACATTGTTTTTACATTGGATTATTCAAATGAAAAGGTCACTGCACCAAGACCACTTTACTGAGATGACGTAGTCTGGTTGCCTTTAGTGGGTTTTTAAAATGCACTTTTTAGCTTCATAATTATCTGTCATGATCTTCAGCCCTGGATAGAGTATAGAAGGGACGAGAAGCAGTACATGGAAACATAGTAGACAGTGAAATTTTTGTTTCGTACAAATGAATTTGTACTAAATAAAAATTTAATTTGTCAGTTCCGAATTTCGTCCATAAAACATTCGTTTTTTTAAACGAAATTCAGTAAAAAATAATTTGTTTCCGTCCATTAGGACGAACATTAAACTGCGCATGTGCAATAAAAAAAAAAAGAAAAGCAAAGAGGGAGCCGGCACTGCTACCAGCTCTATCCTTGTAATAAATAATAACAATTCCTACCCCCCCCCGCATTAAAACATATATGACCCCCATATTAATAAAAGGGAGGTTAAATCCTCTCATATGCCCTCACTCGCAGCATGTGGCCTAAACAGCAAGCAAGCTAGTGGCTGCTCGCTGTCATTTAAAACTACTAGTGACTGCCCTGGCCGGTCTCCGTTTGTGAGGTTCCAATGCGAACACCATGCAAACATATGATTGCTCCCCCGATCGGTAGTTCATATCTCCCTAATGTCATCCATATAGGTGGTCGGGAAATAGAACGGGTGGCGGTCTAAGTTTTACCGGCGTTTGCGCAAGTGTCTAGCCGAAAAGAGTTCCAGGCACTCGACAACCAAGTACCGCTGCCCACGATCAGTAGACAAGATGGCCGCCATTCTTTTGTCTGCCACGTATTCGGTTATACAAAATGGCAGCCACCCATTAAATTGCTGGTGTTAACGTTCTAATGGGGTACAGGGGTGGTCCTCATTCAGGAGACGAAAAGATTCTGTTTGTATGAAGTACTTCCAAACTGAAAAAAGATAAAACATACAAAATAAAGGGGAAAACATATGAATAGGAGGTAAGTTCCGCCACAAGACTCTTATACGCACGGGTTAAGTCTCCTGCTGCAGGGAGATCCAGGTTTTTTTGTTTCTCTTCACTGCTGTGGGGGTTAATTCTCCTGCAGCACGGAGTCTATTAAACGAAAGAAATGAAACGTAATGCATTCGGAATTTGCCCTTTCGTTTCGTATATAATTCGTATGTAGGTCTTTCATTTATGTTATAGTAAACGAATATGAAAAAGTAAAAAAATTCTGATGAAATCATATTCGTCCGATAACGAATGCACATATCTAAAACATATAATCTATATCAAACATTTGTTAGGTATTGTGAAAAGAGGTCTTTTGCTGTAACCCGTACCTCCAAGTACTGCTAAATTTGGAGCTAACCACAAAAACAAACACACATAGCTGATATGGTGATAAGTGACATCCTGGTCAATACTGCCCACAAGAGTAGGAAAGGGAGGGACATGGACTGAAAGACACACTAGTTAAAAAGAAATAAAGAGATTACTTCTCAATTAAGGGTCTGAGTATCATGCCCCTGTAGTTTTGTCCCTGTGATGTAAAGCAATACTGTTCTGAAGAACAGCAATGTTTACACTGCAGTGTTTAAATAATGGTCCCAGACTGACAGAAGAGCTATAAGCAGTCAAAGTGAATACTGCTCATGATGTTATCTTCGCGCTGCCATGATAAATAAAAAAATGCTTTACCCCCAGCATGTCACTGGCCACCTGTGTAAGGAAGACCCCCATGCAGCAAGATCAATAATGGGCTTTTCCAGCTGCCAAGCACCATCTCTGTGTGAGGAACTGCAGCACAAAAGTGCGCTCTCATGCTGCAATCACACAGTATAGAGTGCTCAAAGAACCCTCAGTGAACTGAAAATCCCTCTGCTGATGTCACTACCAGCTTCTGTGCACACTTCATAAAAATATGCACAAAACCGACATTAGCCAAGAGTTCCGAACTAGCCTATTGACATCCCAATGACACTACCAGAGGTGGAGTTACAACTCTGGCAGCAGAGGAGTTGAACTCAGAATGTACACTATTTCATAACAAAACAATGCTTACACTGACTCCAAGTACTATTGTCACAATACCTAGTGACCCAAGACGCAGAGCGTATATGATAATAGAAATGACAACGTATACAGGTCACTAGAATGGCTGAGCTTAAATGGATATCGAATAGTCAGGGACAAGCCGAGTAAGGAAAACCAGAAATCAGGGAAGCGAAAACCAATAGCTGAGTGACAGGATTACAGAATGGAGAATAGTCAGAAAAGCCGAGATCAAAATACCAGAAATACACAGACAGTAAAGCACTCTTGGGAACCATAAACTTGAACCACAGTTTCATGCCCAAGGTGCCTTTTTATTGTTTGTAGCTTTTATTATATAGCCACACCCCCAAAATATTTGAATACGAACGTTTTCCCTGGGCGTGATGTCATTTGCGTCATGACGTCGGCACATACGTGCCGAGTCATAAAAGGTCAACGCAGTTGGCGTTGGGACTGCTCAGGAGAGGGGAGGGACTGTGGGAAGTGTCCCTTTCCACCATCTAGACGTCCCTAGACAGCCTGGGCAACAAAAGGTAGTAGTGTGACCATATGTCAACTTCAAACCGCTGTCCTTGGAGTAAACCTTTCAAATGGTACTTTGAATAAACCTTTAATGGACTTTTCAATCCTTATCAGAAACTACTGGGAAGATCCCTGTAGTAATTTTGGGGGTCATAAAAATGTTCACCTTCACTTTAATTTTGTTTTATGAGCTAGCTTTTGGCAGTCTATAGCCCAAGCTATCAGCATTAGATATTTAATTTTGATAAGGTCTAGTTTGCAAGTGTTTTGTACACCCGTAGAGAAAATAATCATTATTAAATGCCATCTTCTACAGTGCATTTATGTACACAACGCTATGCTAAAACACCCATGTGTGGAGGGATAGGACCAAGTTATAAGAATCCCAATAATAATCTAAGGTTTTGACTTAATAAAACACTGTGCTTGTTTTAGTAGTGACACTAACAGATCAGTTTACTAGTTAGGAAAAAAAGTCATATCTCAAAAATGTAGTTGCATACTGAGTTAAAAACAAAAGATCTGCAATAGTTACTTCCACAGCTTCTGAGTTTACATCTTAGCATGGTATGTTGATTTCCTGAGTATTTTTATTTTGGGTGTAAGTATAGCTTATGTATGACACCAGGAGAAAACTGGTCAAGTTACAGCTGCAGACTACAGAACATCTTCACAGTTTTAAGAGTTCACAGCTCTGGGTCTGTGAGTGTGCCATTTCTACATTTTATATATTTAATTCCAAATTCCCTATGGTCTATACTATGTTGCTATAATTATCTTTTTTAGATTCATTTACAGCTTGGGACACTAGTGAACATTTTTCTCTTCAGCAATATAAAAGATTTATTTGCAATTTGGGACACTAGTGGAGAGAAAAAAAGGAAAAAAATCTCCTTCTCAAGCAATACAAAAGGTGACACTTATTTTTTAAAGCGCTACATTCTTTACTTTTTCTCTGTTTCTTTTATTGGTGATATTGTAAGGAATCACATGAATGTTTAGCAGCTAAATTTTATAAAGAAAGTTTATTATAATATTTAAGATTAAGATTTATATTGATTTAAATTGTTTCTTTTATTGTCTTGTAATAAGCGCTAAGCTCTGTTCACATTTTTTTGCATTAAGTTAAAACTTGCCTACTTATAATTGACCCAAACTACTTCCCCCCACCACAAAATGTCAATGTTCTAACTATCTTCCCTGCCTCTAGTAAAAATATGTGTGATTGTGTGACAGCATAACCTAATAAAATAAAGACTGAAAATGAATATTTCATATTGTCAACATCTGGCATGAAGGTCTTTTGTTTTCTTGCTTTAGTCAATAACAAAGCCAACCAACTGCAGTGCATCCTTACTATCACACCTTACTTAAAGGACCACTATAGGCACCCAGACCACTTCAGCTTAATGAAGTGGTCTGGTTGCCAGGTCCATCTAGGGTTAACCCTGCCTGCTGTGAAAAAGCAGTTTCAGAGAAACTGACAGCCGCTATTGGCTTCCGTGCTTCTCACTGTGATTTTCACAGTGAAAAGACACCAGGGTCCATAGGAAAGCATTGAGTAACTGACTAACTGAATTAGCGGCATTCAGCGGATGACGTCGGAAGAGGGAGGAGAGTGGGAGCCTGGCGCTGAAGAGAGGTAAGTGTTTAACCCCTTCATCCCCCTTCAGCCCAACAGGAGGGGGACCCAGAGGGAGGGGGGACCCAAAAACCCTATAGTGTCAGGAAAACGAGTTTGTTTTCCTGGCACTATAGTGGTCCTTTAACATTTCCCAAATTCCAAACTTTTCTTTTCTTCCTCTTTCTTACTCTGTCTTTTTTCAGTTTTCATTTATTTCTAACTACAAACATAAGACAAAATATGGACTACTCTGTCTTATGTATTTTTTTTTTATGCCTGACTTTCTTAGATACGAGGTGGAGCTTCCACCATCTAGAAGTGTCAATCCCCATCAACAATGATGTGTGCAGGTATTTGGCTCTGTCTATGGAGGATCCTGTTGTCTTGCGGGATCCTCCGATGACCTCAATGCTGTACTATCGCGCATGCACAAAAATACAGCAGTGATGTCCGCCGGAGGAAGATGGCGGCACCTGTGAGGAACTTGCTAAGGTAAGTGGAACTCATCTTTCCCTGCCCCACCCCCTGGCCAAAGTACCCCAGCAGCAATGTCACCGTTGGGGTTCGGCAAAGTGTCCAGGCGGTGACAGTGCCACTTTAATTCTTACTCATGGAAGGCTTTCCCAGTAATAAGTTCGTGTGTGTGTATATATATATGTCATATATAAGTATATTACCTGGTCAGCCTCTTGGAAGTGTCTTAGTAAGTCAACCTAGAAGTCCCTTCCTACCCAATTTACTTTTGTTGGTAAAATTACCATGCAGGGGAAACTTGCATTATACTAATACCTACCAGAACTGTGTATCACCTTTGAGGAAATATCTATGTGTTATCAGATAATAAGAATGAACAAATTGCTTATGGTAGGTACCTACCCAAAATTGGTGGACTGTCAGAATTAGGGAGCATAGCATTGAGAATCAGCAGCAGCACAGAGAATCCTAAAACCAGGATAATCTTGAAACTAAACCTGGTTTCGTATGACTGCATGAACATACTGGAAACATCCATCAAAACCATGAAGATGGTTGGAATAACAAGGTTAATGACATACTTTAGAGGAGTTCTCCGTAAGGAAATCTAGAGGAAAGAAAATAAATAAAAAATAAAAATCCAGTAATTATTATGATGTATTAATTAAAAAATAGAATGAGGGTTGGAAGAAAGAGCTTTGTGCCCTGACCTTAAATAAAAGAGAAGGGACATTTTAAATGTTCTCTGCCATACAGACAGTATTAAATTACTGTCTGTATGAAGTTGTTGTGATGCGGGGTCGTCTCTGGCATCGGTTAACCTAAAGGGTTGTTGATCAAAGATAACTTGCTCTATATTTTCTTTACCAGCAGTATTTCAGAACTAGTCTTACAACTGTACATGGCAGAATTCTCAAGCCAGTTATGATCCCAGATACTATCTGGATATCTATGTACAGACAGTAAGAAAGTCATTTTGCTCTTTATTAGCTTGTCTGTACAGCAGCCAGTGCACATCACAGACTGCCTTGTTGTCTGCATTTCAGTCATACTTGCATAGGCTCAGAGCAGGGTTACCCACATAGGGAGTTAGACAGCACCCAAGAACCATAAATTTGCCTGCCCCCATTTACCATCTCTCTGTGAATAAAGAAGCCTGCCTAGGGCACTGTGGTATCTTAATACTTATCTTCCACTCGTACAGACAAAGGTGTAAAGATGACTCTGAGACTCAAGTTCTGCATTGCCTTGGATCATGGGGTGTGCCAAGGAGCACCCTTATACAGTCAGAGCTAGATTGGTTTAGTGGTAAAGTCAGAGGTAGAGGGCTGGGCCCAAAGTTGCATATAGCAACCTTTTCCTTTACAGTGTGCACACCATATTGATTGATGTCACACTTCAATAGCCTCATTCAGATACCTGAAGCCTGTTATGTCTAGATAGGATAGATGCAATCATGCAGCCCCACGTAGATATTTAAGCCACTCACTTCTGCACCTCTCACGGAAAGAAAATTAGCACTTGTGAGAAAAAGACATTATGTACTATATATAATATATAGAATTTTTGTTAATATATTATAAATAAATGCACAAAGGGTAAAGAAAGTCGGAATGTTAGTTTAACACCTCATTAAGGTATATATTCACTTCAGATGGAAATATAGATATCCCTATCAGTAAATTCATAGTATACAAAACATGTTTCGTTTGTTATTTATTTATTTTTTTGCTTATTCCACTGTATGTTTTGTCTGTTCTTTATATTTTTTATTTTCAAGTAAATGTTGCGTTTTTCGGAAGAGCGGTATAGCATCTGACTCTTTCTCATTGAAGTTTGGTCCCCATACAAGTCTCTACCTGGATTACTGGATTGTTATTTCTGCCCTCTCATATAGCGTTGCCTCACTGTTTTCTAGGCTCTCGGAACATTCCCTATATTCAAGTTCATCACAGAGTTTCATAGCAGTCAACAAAGAAGTCTGTAATTAAGCTTTAACAAATATATTCTTACCTGATACCTCACAAGGTTTGCTTCCACATTGTGAATTACATTGACGTTTACGAGGGTCCATTCTCCTTTACTAGAAAACACTCCTTGTGTTTGGATAGTTAGATTTTCAGAATTATTCACAAAGGGATTAATATTAAGATCTACACCTATAGAACAAGACAATCTATATAAAACATCTGAAGGACAATTTTTGTCAGGTTCATTCCCTAGCCTAGTATTTCATTCCCTAGTCTGACTTCAATACAGAAAAAAAACACACTACATGTAAAAGTAATGAACATTATTAATAATGCAAAATATGCATGATGGTGCATGGCTATGAGAGCACTTGAAAAAAACAGACAGGACATGGTTAGAATATATATACACAGACTATAGGAAACAGCCTGGGAAAATCTGGATGGAAACATATAGTGCTGGGATGGCAATTATATAACTGGCATGGTAGAAATATGGGAAACTCGGAATACTACAAATTGATGCAGTGTGGTGTGGGGTATACATAAACCCACCTGCAGAGATGCATTTCACCCAATCACGTGTGCTTTATTTGACATGAACTCACCAAGATTTGTGTAAGCCTTGTGATTTTAGTTTATTTGACTGCTGCAGCATACACATAAGAAGAAATTAAAAGTCATGTATAACCCCTCCCCTTGCAGAGCAGTCTTTACCTAGAGCTGGGTGTTGGGCTCTGGTTCATGTGAGTGCACCAATTAGAAGAGGGTGATTATTTAGACTTTTGTACTATTATGTATGAACTATTGATGTATTTTTTTATTTTTATATGGTCTGAGAATATTGGAATGTTTTATATATAATTAAACCCTCTTTGTAAACTCTAAACTTCTTTGTACACTGAAATTGGTATTTTATAAAAAGTGTATGTTATGCACTTTAATAGTTATTTGGTGCAGCATTAGAACTGGTTAATATTGATTTTGTTTTTACACTGTATGTGACGTGTATGCATCTTAAAGGGATACTACAGCCAAAAAACAAACACGAGTCCTGCGCATCCAGTATAGGTGTGCACACCTAAGTATATGGATGCGCAGGACTCATGTTTTGGCTGTTGTATATACACTGTTGGGACTTCAGTGTGTCGTTTCTGCAGCACAGATCTAAAAAAATCTGACGCTGGATGTCCTCATGCAGAGCGTCAGAAAATTACTCAGCCCGAAGCAACAGTGTAGTTGTATGCCCAGAGACCTCAATGAGCCTGCATATCTTTGTACTCCACCAATATTTGTTGAGTCCAGCTGATCTGAGCTCTCAACTTTCTCAAATGACACCAAACAAGGCTTGCATATGTTTTGCCACCACAAAGGCAACTTGTCATTCTTTTGAAGATCTAATTAGTCCTCAGACCACCACTTAGCACAAAACTGCTCTCATTAAGGCCAGTCTGACTTGAGAACACCTTGATATGGCCAAAAATGCTTTCAATTCCTCCATTACCACCAACCCATTCAACACCACTTCCTCCTAAAAATAAACAAGCTAAAAATAAACATATATAGAATATCTAAGCAAAAGACAGTTAAGGGCTGCACCACATATAATAGGATAAAATAAAGATAAAGTAAAATATAATAAAATAAATACTGTGAGCCTTATTCCAGATGTTCAAATTGTCATCTATAAAATTGTCTTTTATTCGGGAGGTAGATTCAACTGTGGTTCCTAGATTCTTTGTACTTGGGGGGTCTTGTTGGCTTTAGTCTCCGTATGTGGGTGAGAAAGAGACAAAATAACCTGATAGTGCAGTAAGTCAGGTCTAAGTAGGCCTGTTATTAGTAATAATAATATTGCACTCACATATATGAAAGCTATGACCAGCTCTAGTATGGATTGCCTATAGTAGTATAATCACCACTTATGGGATATGGTGGTGGTAGGTCTCGGCTGGTAGTTGTCTAGATGCTAGAGAAAATAAGAATAGCCACAGATGCTCTCAGTAAGACAATAATAGTTGTATTGAATATAAAAATTTGTACTTACAAGCGTAGAGCAGGCTCACTGCTATGTGGTGACAGCGTTGGTAGCATAATCCCCACCTAGGATTTGCTGATATCGCAGTATGTCTCTCTATATAATGATATTTATAATGTATAATAATTATATATTTAATAATATATAAATATCATTATATTGCAACTATTGCAACTATTTTTTTCACTTTGGTGTTAGTGGGGCCTCATGTTTGAGTTTCGCCTAATGCCTCATAAAGTCTAGAGCCGCCTCTGGGTCCAAAATATGTGAATGTATATCTTCCTAGAACATCCAGCTCATGTATGCACACTAATTCCACCTTTAATTCAAACGGGACCAGATTGGGAAAAAATGTGGCCAGAGCATTTTTGAATCACAGCAGCCCACTTGTAAGTGGGCCGCGCCAGAGAGGGTGTGTTTTGTCATCACCGGTGACAAGCACAGCTCCTCTCAAAGTGAGCATGTTGGTTCAATGCTCTTCCAGGGCAGCCCATGTGTATAAGCATTATAAGCCAAACATGAGCTCACTCGGGATACAGTGGCTATGAAGTGTGCTTGTCAGAACCCCTGACGCATGTTTTGCCAATCTGGATCATCAGAGGGGAACCAGACAAGTGCTCAGTGTCTGGTTTATAAATGGGAGAAAAGGTTTGTAATTGGTCAGTTTGAATATTGGAGAACCAATGGGGTGACAGGAAAGATTAAAAAAAATAATAATTCTGAGCCCTTTAACCCTTTCAGGTATAACTAGGAAGAAACAGGTTTGTTATGTTTTATTAACCCCTGAAGGTATGGAACTATACAGAAGTTGATGCTGAAAAAGAATTCCCCAAATTAGCATTGTGACAAGGGGTGTATTTAGTAGCAAGTAAATACTTTAATTAGATAAAGGTGTATGAATGTTATCTTGATGTTGTAAAATAAACTGTTCAGTTAAGGTAACTGACACCATAAATGGTAGTAACCCAGCTACTTGTGGGTACACTGCCCCAAGGACTATAATCACTTCCAGTTACTCCTCCAGTCCATGCCTTGCAGCTCAGAGCCCTTTTCCCCGGGCCCAGAAGTCACCCCAAGCTGGCCACGGGACTACAGAGGCATGGTGCGCCCGACTGGTAGCAACCCACAAACTCTTTGGAACTCTTAGTTAGATTGTGAAGTTGCCGAGATCCGTTAAAACTTGTGAAGAGCACTCTCGGTCCAAGAGGCGCCCATAAAGGTGCTTTTTGGAGTAGAGGTCTGTGAGGAAAAGAGGCATCGAAAGACACCTTGGACTTGAGAGAGCTTCCTACCCTGACCAGCTAGAGGGCGGACAAAGTGACCGGGAAAATCAGCCAAACGTCTGGAACACTGAGATCGTTGGGAGAATAGTCGTGGCATGATCAGACTTTAACCTGCTATAACTATCCGATCAGAGCGCTATTTGGCCAGCATGGGAGAGCTTTCCAAGGACAACTAACATGTAGGGGTACCGGCCTCCCTGAAGTCCCAGGAACCCTGCTTTGTAAGACCGGGAAAAACAGCCAAATGGCTGGAAGTCTAAAGTGGATCGGAAAATAGCCGTGACCTGGTAAAACTTTACCAGCTCCTCCCTCTGGAGCGGATTTACTGATCATAGCACTTTTTGGACAATATGGGCACTCGGTCACAGGCTTTTGAACGATGTATAGAATGTGAGGATATGTTATGCTATTGTTGAGTTATTGTATAAAATGTAAAACAGAATTGAAGTTAATCAGGTTATGATTACTAAACAGCTATTGTGCATTATGGCTTGTGTCTGTCAGGAAAATCAATTATCGTAACTTAGCCTAATTATGTCCTGGACACCAAGTCTTGCTATGTTCTAACTGATGACCTCCTGTGGGGAATGTGCCTATAAATACCTGTGTTGTGCTTAATTAAGGTTGTTTTAACCCTTACCAAGTGTCGTCTGGTGTTTGGGGAAAGGGCTGGGATCATAGCACTTTTTGGAGACAGGGACACCCAAGTTATAAACACAGTAGTCCCTGTTCCAGAATATTTGTGAGAATAAAATCCTCAGATTAGAATAGGCAATAATTGCAGAATAATGATACTACTCTACTGGAAGGACAGGCCAAAACTAGAAGCCAGAGTAGAGAAAAGAGGATTATTAGATGTTAAAATCGAATCGGTACCAGGAGTAGTTATGGTGGATGAGATGTTCCTTTAAGAGGTATAAAAATCAATTAATTGTATTGTAATAGTCCCAGTATGAAAGTATATTAGTCCCAATAGTAAAAACAAAGTTAGTGTATAAATCTCAATCTTTAGAACGATAACATGAATATGAGACTGTTAAGTGTCTGCCTGCATATAGCTGGATTTTGTATCCATTGTAACAAAGTCTCATATTCATGTGGTGTTATCGTTCAAAAGATTGAGATTTATATACTAACTTTTGTTTTTACTATTGGGACTAATATACTTTCATACTGGGACTATTATAATACAATTTATTAATTTTTTTTTTTATACCTCTTAAAGGAACATCTCATCCACCATAACTACTCCTGGTACCTATTAAATTTCATCTAATAATCCTCTAGTCCCTGTTCCAGGGTGCAAAAGGCCCTCAGCAATCCCAGTAAAGCTCTGTCTACTGGGTCAGCAGCAGGGACCCTGATAGCAGCGAGGAAGAAGACTTGATGGAGGTTCTCAGCCAGAGTACTGGAGTTCCGTTACTGTGAGAATTTTCCAAGTACCCAAATCCCAATGTACGACCCGAAGGCATGATATTCACAATCTCATTGTAAATTCTCCAAGACAATGTCAAGTATTTACTGATTTCTTTAGTTTTTTCCTTATTTAATTTAAACTGTAAGAACTCAAGAATGCAGTCACAAAAATATGTCAAAACAGACAAAATGGATATATTAAAATGTTCAAAAATGTTCATTTTGTTTTCATCTTTCTAATCTAGCTCCATGTCTTAGAAAGAATGTATCATACTAGCTCAAGTGTTACTGATCATTTATCTAGAACCAAAGACTGTAGATTACAGATTCCTATAAGCCATTCAAACATACCTTGATAGACAAAGGTAGTGAAAGTCAGGTTACAAGTTTGTGTGTCAAAGGGGAACTTAAAAATATCTGCAGGTAGTAACAATCTGTAATGGCTTCGTCTGGGTCATTTGTCCATCAGATTTGAGTATGTGATAGGAAATCATAGGGTTTTCATCCAATTTAGTTCTGGATAAATAAAAAAAAAAAAAAAGCATTACATCACGAAGAACAAGATGTACAGTTTTACACATCTGCTACACAACTCAAGACTCAGATAAATGAAAATGTGGTTTACCAAACTCTAATATTGCTAATAAGACAGTATGCTTTAAATATTACTAGGAAAATTTGACCTCCCAAATAGCTTTATATATTTTACAGGAAGAGGGAGAATTGCCCAGGTCAATTACCCCTTCTAAAGGCCTCCACGTTTTTTAACTACTATATATGTTGAGGATTATGTCGGCTTCTATTATTCAACAAACCACTGAAGGATCATTCAAGTGGATACAACAGTGTCCAGAGGCCCTATTCATTTACATAAGCGATTATTCCGCATTAAATATTTTTTACAAGAGTCCTCATCATCCCATCCCCTCTGTGCTACTTGGTCTTATAAGAAATTATCCTGAGCAGGAATGGGCAGCTGTGATTGGCTGAGAATGTCAGCTGACCGCATTCAGCATATCACAGTGCAATTGCAGGTATGAATCTTCATGGCCAAACTGTAGTGCGTAATCTCTGCCTGAGCCACACCTCCCATGGTGCTATCGGAAGCCAGGGACCATTCTGTCTTAGACTGTTCAAAATATTTTGATATCTTCATGAAACGCAACGGGATCTAGGAGTTGTCCAGCAGAAGATTAAAGTAGGGGAGGAGAGGGAGAGGGAACAGGATGAACAGCTGCAGGATACCAGGACACAAGTGAAGGAACTTACCCAATAGGTGAAACAACTAAACCGAGCCGTGACCACTATGGAATACCAGCATAGGCGCCGGAACATCCGCATGCGCGGAATACCAGAGAAGGTCAGTGGGGAAGTGCTACTACCTTACATGCAGAGGCTGATTGTATCAATGGGCATAGGGGTGGCACCGATCCCTCCATGCTGCTATCGGCATTTCAAGTGCGCGAGGCAGCTGATGCCCCCAGAGACACGATTATTGTAACTAAAGACATAGCGGCATGCTCCAACATTATGGCATGCTCCAGAGAGATGGGAAACATAACATTTGAAGGCACTTTTCGGGGACCTATCCTTTGCTGTCCTGGTGGAGAAATGTAAGATGGCTCCGGCTGCCAAGAAGCTGAGATATCACTCCATCAGGTACCACTGGGGAACATATGGTACACTTGTGGTCCCACAAGGAGAAGCAGTCCTTACCCTATGATCGGATAAAGACCCAGAGATACTATGGCAGAGACTAAACCTACCAATTTCCTAATCGGTGGGGGTCGAAACTGAAAGGGTGAGGAACACAACACAAAGAAACCCGAGGGAAGGCACATTTCTGACCTCCACTCAGCTACCCAAGTCTACAACCTTTCGCAAGGGACCCTCCAATTAATCATAAGGACAATGTATTGTCCTTCCTTCCAAATGCCTATACAGCTCCTGCCATAGAAGTAGGATATCATCCTTACCTTGTGTTAAATTAGGCTCACTATAACATGCTGAACCTATGAGCTTGAGGATTTTGGTTTGTGATAAAATATGTTTCAAGTAACACCTATAAAGTTCCAAAAACATGTAGTGCTTTGCCGCTATAGTTACCATATGTTTATGTAATTAATATTTCATACGTTGAAACAAATGTATGCTTACGTGTACAAACTCCCCCCCCCCCCAAAAAAAAAATGTAATTTACAAAATAAAACAAAAACTAGAAAACAAAAATAAGACAAATGATGCAGTGGGCTACAAATATAAGAAATAATTAGAGTCGGGAGGGTCCATGGGTTAGGGGAGTGAGAGAAAGTAGTGGTTTTAAGTATACCCCATAAATTGCTTCTTTCGTTGGGTAACCCCACAGCACAAACATCTAAGCATACAATCATATAAGCATATAAACATATGTCTAGCCTTAGTTGACTGTGATATAAACATACGTAATGTGGCTCTGACATGGTGTGCATATGCTCAATAATCATTATATATTCATAGGAGCAGTTTACAGATATCTCCCCCAACTGTTGGCTTTCAGCAGGACAGTCACAGTTTCAGAGTCCATTATAAGAGCTGTCAGTGATGCAAGTCGTGTCATTGCCTATCCTCCATAAAGGCCCACCCACTTGTCCCAATCCCATACCTCTCTATGTAGGAAGGTCTGCAAATGGTAGCTGAAAAACCTTTTCCAATAGATTTTTAACCCGAGGTCAATAATGTACCAACTCGGGACAGATCCATGATATCTGTCCCCCCAACAGAGATTGTTTGACAATTCTAAATATGTTAATCTGGATATTGTACCATCTAAATAATAACTTGAAAATGTGTTCCTTAAGTGTTACAGAAAAATAAAAAGCAGAGACTTCCTAGTTATCCCACCAGGTATCTCCCTTCTCAACTTCATTTACATCAGATTTCTGTTGTTGAAAATAAGTCAGGTTACCGTACATTAGAATTAGAACAAATAAAATGACAGATGGTCGAGATAAAACCCTTGGGGTTAATCTTTTTATGATAGAAGGGCTCAAACAAGCTAAAGTTTTGATTAGCTTTATGTTCTAGATTGTCTTTGAGGAAAAAGTATCTTAATTGAAGAAATAAAAAAAAAAAGTAGCTAGACACAATTTAACATAATTTATGAAAGCAAATTATAGCATAAGTGCTTAAAAGGTTGGACTCTAACTTTCTTTAGATTCCCTAGATCACATTCCGTGGGGAAACATTTCCATTTTGGGAGACAAATGCCAAAGGAGACAGAACTGGGCATAGGGAAAATGTAATACGAGCTTGATCCCATAATCCTAATCTATAGTTAATGTTGACTTATTTATGTGCTGTTTTTTTTCCTTTATCTGAGGTTCATCCAGCAATTTAAAACAGATTGACAATCTAACTGTTTCTGATACTCTGTTTTGATATTGTGATAACATTTTTCAACATCAGCAATACATTAGACCAATGTTACAAAACCTGTGCAAACGGTACATCATGCACGGTTGAGAAAAGCTTTTTTTAATCTATCCTTAAGTCCCCTATTAAAGGTTAATAAATATATAGGGGTGTATATAAAAATACCCCTCTCTGTCCCATTAGAGATATCTTTGCCAGAAGCTCAAGGAAACAAGGTGAAAGGTCAGTGTAGGACCCACCTAGGGGGGTCTGCCTTGACGTTGGCAGGCGGAAATTCCTTCCAATGGCCATTGGAGTAACTAAATGACCTCCATTTGTTTAAATATACATAGGGATTCAGGAGAGAGTGCAGGTAACTTTTTCTTTGGTCGTTCAACAAATTTATTCAGGAGTTTTTCGTATTGGCAAGACACGACCCGCTAGAGTTATAAAAGCACTTGAGATCCTCAAAGGAGCCCTCACTACTGCTCCATTGTTTTAGAAATTAATACTTATGAGGTCACAAAGATGGCCGTATGCTCATCCACTGCTCCCCCTTTTCCTTTTTTTCCTATGTGCTTTCTTGAACTTACAACATAAAAGCTAGTTGGGTATTATTTTGACATTTGAAAAGTAGCATCAATTGTTGGAGGTATTTGCTGTCCCTATATCAATCAAAATGACTTCTAAAACCAAGTGACACCAAAAGCCCTTCACTTCACCAAAATAGAGGAGTCAGGTTTTTGAACCACTTTAACTACATTATCTCCTAGACACCCGAAACTAAGAATGCTAAGACCTAGGTGTAAAATTGCCTAGGCGTTTTTCCCAAGGGAAAGTAAAGCTTGCATCTGAGTCAGATGCAAAAAATCAGAGGTATGCAACACCTTAAGTTCTGATGTACTTGAGTGTGTCCAAGGATCAGGTTTCTAGCTAGTTGTCATTTCACTAAGTATGTGTGCACAAATTGATAGATGAGTTCCAGGGTTACTCCAACCATTTGGAATGGGTGGAGCTTTTCGGAATAAAATGTTCTATTAGGCAATAATAGAGAAAAATCCCAAAGATAAGGGTGTGTGGAAAGAGGAGCGAAGTTCCATCTACCACAACATCCCAGACTGGGGGTATGCCCACATTGGAGGGTATGGAATCCCTTGGTTTTCACAAGTGAAAGAATGGTAAAATGAAAATAAAAAATACTTTATTCCGAAGACGTATAGAGACTATAAAACATATATATAGTATATATATATTACAAGGGGTCCAGGGTAGGGGGATGTCCCATGGTCTATAAGGCTATAATAACACAATAGGAGGCAGCCGGGCAGGTACAATAAAGGATTACATATATGACACTGTTATACGCCAAAATATCACATCCTAATAAAGTTTCTTAGATGTAACATATTTCACGAGAGTCTTAGATAGACCAGAGTGTCTGCACAAAATATAATCAAACTGCTATTGTGGGAATAACAACCAATGAACAGGTTGTAGTTCCCTGGAGTTTATGGCAAGCTTGTAACACCCGTTGTATAAGTAGTAAGTATATCGGGTAGAGGTGCTGGCTATACTAGTGAGATAAATCAGAGGTATAACATATATAAATAGAGAGGAATGTACAAAATTTCGAAGAAGATCCTCTAATATATAGAGATACCCAGATACCTCAATTCATCTAGATAATAGTCAGCCCCATAGTTCAAAGAATAATAAAGTGCTTGCAAAGGCAGCCAGAGTAGCAATATTAAAAGTATATTGCTAAAAATTGTAGCAAAAATGTTAACAACTCTTATAACTAGTTCTGTGTGTCCTGCAATTGATACTTCAATGAAAAAAGATGCAGTATTACACTAGTCTAAGCTGATTGTGAAACAAGCCCCCAGCTCAAAAAATCTATCCTACCTCCTAAAAAACAAGGGGAAGGAAACTCCCCCAAACACCAGGCACATCACCCACAAATACCCGACCCCATGTAGTATAGTTATGCAGTGAAAAAAGAAAAGGATAAAACAAAAGATCGCCCAGACCTAAAAATAAAACTATAAATATCGAAATGTACAGAGTATATCTAAATAGGCTGGGCTAATTCCTCAGAGTGTACAGAGAAGGAGGTCCGCCTAAATTCTAAATCCGACAT